GTGTGTGTGCCTGAACTTGCCCACAGTCCAGCCAGTCACACCTCTAGACCTCTAGAGACAGAGAGAGGGCACAAAACCAAGGAGGAGGCCTTTACTTTACAGCATGAAAGAGGTGCATCAAAGATTATACGTTGAAAGGAAGGATTCTACATTGCCATGCTGTTAGAGGTGTAACAATAGTCAGCTCACAGTTCATTGTGATTCATGATGCTGGGTTCACTGAGTTTATTTGAAATTCACTCATATTTTGAACAATGTTTGAATGAAGGAAGATGATGACGATTGCCATGTCATTACTAACCAAAGTAGAACTGGAAAGCGCTAGGCTTGGAGCTGAGAGCGTGACTGATGTTGATCGTGTGTGTGTTTGTGTGTGTGGTTTATCGTTGGTTGTGACCTTTGGCATTCAAACAGTGCAACTGACCTATCGATGCTTGGCCTATAAAGTGGTGTTTTGTAACAACAGTTGCTAGGTTGGACACTCTTTACTCACTGTGAGCAAAAATCTCATTCAGCTTGTTGCAATCTGTGTTTAGAGTCACTACGCTACTTGTTGATTTTCTGGTTTAAAATGCTATACTGAGCTTGACACAACTGTTCTTGTAGCCAATCGAAATGAGGTGGGTTGAAAACCACAACAATGAGTTTGTTCTTCACAGGAGGGCAGCAGGGTGTTTCCTGCCTTCCGCCCAATGACCACTGGGATAGACTCCAGCTCCCCGTGACCAAGAACGATAAGCGGCTTAGAAAGTGTGTGTGTGTGTGTGTGTGTGTGTGTGTGTGTTTGTGTGTGTGTGTGTGTGTGTGTGTGTGTGTGTGTGTGTGTGTGTGTTCTTCACAGGTCAATAACATAATAAATGGTATGGTTAATTATTGTTATATAATAATGAACATGCACCAGCTACACGTCATTGCATGAACTGACCCAAAAATGAGCCACTAAAACCAGAAATTTTGTTGGCTTATGAGAGATGGCTCCAACTGTCTCTCGAACAACCAAGAATAATGTTCTTTTTGGTCGTTTTATATCATTCTAAAGCTTCTCATTTGGCTAATTAGCTACCTTGAATGCTAGTTAGTAAAACTTTTGACTGATATGAAACAATGCACTGCCCTGTTCTTCACATGCTCACACACATAGCTAAATGGACACACACTTAGATGTAGAATCAAGCAAAGCTTGAAAGAATTTTCCCTTCCAAGTGTGAAAATATGAGCACAAACACTTGTTCTGTGGCCGCATGTAAAACTGCTAATAGCTTTAACTATCTTAAGTCACCTTATGTTATACTATCTATGAAATAATCATTTGAAAAATAGCAATCAACACATCAACATACCACTCAAGTTTACATACTAGTGCACTTATTGGTATGTAAAAGTGCTTGGCAGCTTCATCTGGAAGAGTACATGAAATGCTAAACTGTCATCGGCTTCAGCTGCAAGCGCCCTGGGATTAATATTACAGCAGTAGTGCTCTTAGTCTTAAAAGCTGGAACATGAGAAAGATCCATTATATACTTACAGACATTTGACGTTATAGCCTCAACCACACTTAGATTTTACTGCTGTTGCCAGTGTTTTGTCTGCTCTGTATGTGTTTATTGTAAATTGTCCTGTAAGTAGAGCAGCATCCATGCTGACTCGATGGGAGTTATCCATCTTGGAGTATAACCAGCCATTATGTTTACAAAATTCAGATTTGGTCTATATTAAAGCAAAAAGCCACATGAGGCTATTACAATGATTTTATTACGGGTGGTAAAGGGGTGCTGTTAGGTATAGTATAATTGTAGGTCCATATTTGTCACTGGATATAATCTGTCTTGATAACTCTTCTTATGACATCTTATGACATGGTGTCTGGCATGACATTTATGGTGTGGTTATGTCAATGTTGTCAATGGGTTCAATGTGTCAGGACCAAAATAAAGTGTTCCTTTAGTGGGCTTACATCACTACCAATATGTTTGAAAAGGAAATAGTAGTAATACAGTTTCAATGACCTTAGTTGCATCTGTAGCACAATTGCCAACTTTGTTGTCCATTTTTATCACACATAGCTTCGAGCCTTGAATGTGAATGAGCATAGTGGCATATTCTTTTATAGATAACACCACCTATGTACTGACATAACAGTTTGAACAGTTCCACTCTAAACAGTTTCTCATTTCCTGAAGTGTTAATCAAATTAAGTGTGAAATTATGTTTACCCACATAAGTGTTTAATGATGCTGTATTGTATGTCAGCAGGTAAAAGACTTAGTAAACCTAGAATGGGAAATATTAGCACGCAGCTTTTAAAACTGAGTGACAAATGACAAGCTGCTTTCTGTTCAGCATGCTTTAAATAGCAGCATTTAGTGTCCCTCCAAGCCTCTTCAGTGTGCTGTAATCCTGAGCAAACGTGGATGCGTGCGGACACTGATACAGAGCGAACGGAAAAGCTTTGTTTTTGTTGTCCCACTTGTGGTAGGCGTTTGTGTGTCACACCTCCGCAGCATCCCCTGTGTGTGTGTTTTTTATTTATTTTATTTCTTTCCTCCCAGCATTCAGTGAACATTTTCCAAGCCACTATCCTTCCGTGCCTCCCCCTCTTTGCCCAGAGGTGGTGGCGTGAGGTGGTGAGGGGTTTGTGGGGGGGGGGTGTAATCCAGCCTGGTAGCACACAGTGGGTCTTTTGAAGCTGCTCTGAAGAGCCTGGTCAAGGTAATCTCCGCTTGGAGGAAAGCCGTTTACAGGGAGAGGGAGGCAGTGGGGAGGGGGGATGCGATGGAGAGTAACAGAGAGAGAGGGGAAGAGAGAGAAAAGAAAGAGAACAGAGAGCACAGGCAGGGGATGATAAGGCCAGGGGGATTTCGTTGCCTTTTTTGGGGTAGGATTTTTTGGAGCAGGCTTTTGCCTTTGTCACTGGTAAGGAAAGAGAGAGGGAGCTGTGGGAAGCAAGAGTGAAATAGAGAACGGGAGTGTGTGGTGATTCACTCACACAGCGTGTTGATCTCCAGATTGCCCGTGTTTGTGATGAAGAGCAGCTGCTCGCGATTGTGACATGGAGTGAGAGATCGGAGATGGAGTGATCTGGTGGAGCAGCTGATCTGACAGAAGCTACATTAATACGGGCATATGCTGGGAACACAACACATACCACACAAGAGAGCCAAGCAGCCACAAAGAGGAAGGCACGATTCAGTCACAAGCAGTGATTACAACAGTGGAACGTATAGCAGCAACTGCTCCCATGAGACTCTAATCTAACTACCAAAGATATTTTGCCAGCGCTTTAAGCACAGCAATAGAGAGCAATAAAGTGAGGGATTGTTCTTAGTGTTGTTCTTAGTTACCTGTCATGATACCCGTAAATTCAGGATGTCTTCACTTCACGCACAGTTAAAGAGACTGTATTGCGCATTTGAAGCTGTGTACTGTGATCGCTCCTGAATGTCACTAAGACATTATAAAATATTGTAAGGTTTCTAAATGGTTATCGGCTTAGACATAGAATTTAATCCATGCTTCACTCGCAAGTTTGATTTTTCATAGCTGTTGCAAAGTCAAACAAGCTTTATGGAATGCTAACAATAATTCACAGTAATTAGACAATAATTCAGTTTAAATTTATGAGAAATTGCAGTGCACTTTGTTTAGAGTCGCTACATAACTTTGAGTTTCTGCTACACTTCCTAGCTGGACTATGTTGTTGTAGATAATTGAATTGAGATGGTTGTAAATGACAACAAATTAGCCATGATAACATTAACATTAGCAAAAGTCAGCGACCAACTTTCAATTATTTAATTTCCGTTCAAAACAGCCATGAAGCAAAAGTTATTTATTTTTCAGCATCAGGGGAAAAAAACAGAAAACATATTTAACAGAAAATAGCTTCCATTCTTGGATCAAGTCTTTGGCAGACTTGCTTTCAGTGTTACTCCACACCTCTTAAGTTCAGTCTTAGAAGTTGATTACATTTTTGCTTCTGACAACCCAAGAAATCCCAAACATATTCAGTAATGTTGAGGCTGGACTCTGGGGTGGTTAGCTTCTTGACAGCTGCACGTCCTTTCAGAGCCATAGCGTTGAATTGTCTTTTCATAGTGGAAGGATGGACAGAAACACCTCTGAATTTCTTTATATCTGAAGGAAGAGTGGAGCTTGATTTTCTCCTCTCTCTCAAGGATAAAAGCTTTAACTGTACTGTTTATCTGATGGGACACTTTAGGTGTTGTACCAGGTCTTGCACAGTTGTTAAGAGTCCCATTTTCTCTTTATCTTTTAATAATTTTTTGAACTCCTGTATTGCAAAGTCCTGTACAGTTTTACACTTGTTTTCCTTTGTTTTTCCCCTGATAAATAAATCTAGGGTGAAGGGTGGTCTCTGACTTTTGCACATTATATAGTTATCTATTTTATCTTAAATATTTTGTCTATTTATCAATCGATTTTAGCCAATAAATAGTTCTCTATTTTCTCTGTTTCTCATTACATTGAATGGGATTTTTGCCAATATCCTGTAAAACCAACCTTGCGGCCGTTGTTGCGAAGGAAGACATCTGTGGGCCAAGTGTGGATAAGTCTGTTGGTGTACATTATGTGGAAGAATATTTAATCTTTAAAAAGGTTCTTCAAACATTTAGAAGAAAAGCCTTTTGACACCTTTACTTTCTAAGAGTGAATGATTAAGAAGGAAATAAGTTTTTGTATGCACACATCATTCATATGTTGAACTACTGGATGTGAATGATACTCAGCAAGTGTCTGCTGTTTTCTATCCACGTTCCCCTCCTTCCTCACTCCTTCACTTTTAGCGTTCCCCTTTTCACTCTCTTTTGGTGGCTGGTTTTGTATGTGTTGACATTTTTCCACCTCCCATATTCTGACCGTGGTTTCATGGTTTCACAGCTGGCTGTTCTTTCACTCTCTCTCTCTCTCTCTCTCTCTCTCTCTCTCTCTCTCTCTCTCTCTCTCTCTCTCTCTCCACCCCCCACCCCCCTCTGGTGCAGGTTGATCGGACACAGTTACTCGCCACGCTCTGACTGGCCCTTTCTCCCTTCAGTGAGTATTCTCATGCTAATTTGACTGATTAGGTGTATCTCCATGGCTGAGCTTGTCTTTCTAGGTTTTACAGATTCTTAGTTCCACAGAGGAAAGTTGATGAGTGTGATGCATGAGAGATAGATGGAGAGGAAGAGGGAGAAGGAGATTCCTTCATTGTGGAGTGTCTTGAAGTTGTAGGAGGTGTGTTGTGAGAATTGCTGTGCGAAAGGCAGAACAATGTGGAACTTTTGGATTTGGGTATAATAATCAGACTTTAAGGGTTTTTATTATTATTTATTTTAATCCCTGAAGTAATGAGACAGTGCAGTAACTATGCTTATAACTACCTAAAACATGTGCCATGTATTTAAATTATTTCTTAATGAGACTTTCAGTTTTATCTTATTTTTACTCAGAAATGACAAGACCATCTTGACATGAAAGCTATTATGTTACAGCTATCATGTTACGTTAATATTATGTTACAGTCTGTATTGTTTTGTTGGTCACTGACACTGCGTTGCATCATATTTACCCAAACTGCATGACTGTATTAGTAAGGGTTTATTGGTTATTAGATAGTCTGTGTTGCCAGATATTTTGTCATGGTACTATTTATATTGTGATAACTGGTATTTTCAGCGATGTTTACACCACCCAAGACACCAAGCTTCTGTTTTGTTCCCCCTTTTTTAACTTTTGCTTTTAACAATTTATGCCAGAGTTCTGTGATTTTAACATTCCTCAGACTTTAAAAAACATTCTCTCATTTGTGTAATTACCTTCAGAATGGTTGGAGAAGTCCAAGATTCTATTACAGAGCAAAGCTTCCAGGCAATTGCATTTACACATGGCAATTTATTGGAGAATTTTCACATATCTTAATATTTTCATAATTTAGTATACCTTGAAATTACAAATCCTGCCCCATGACAAAATGCCTTTATCTTTTGGAAGGCAATTGAGGAGTGCACATTTGAGCCTGGGCCTGCAGGTGATAAACACCTGCTGGTGAATTAATTGTGATTAAGCATAATTCTGCAAGTCGGGCTGCTTTTTTCTTTATTGTGATTATCTCTGCGTAAATCAGATAAGTTTGGACCGCAAGGGAAATGTTTGGAATAATCAAAGCTGGTCTGGAGTCTTTTAATATGTAAGTAATGTTAAATGAATGTATGAGGGGGAAAATGGAAAGGGTGCCTCTTAAATGAAAATGGATAGGTTTCAAATAACCTATATCCTTAGAGAGCACTGAGAAAATCTTACTCTGTACTGTTAACTCAGTAGGATCAGCTGAAAATGAGACTGAAGTGAAAGTGCACAAGTGCTGCTCCATTTCTTGTTGAATTAAATGTATCAGTGAAAACAATGTAGATGTTTCTGCAAGGGCTGGTTCTCTAGTTCTCTCTCTAGCCTGGCAATGTCAGAAAGGAGAAGATCTTCTACACTGCAGATTGCTCACCGTTTGGCCAGCATGTTTGCCTAGCGTGGCTGTTGAGAAATGCGGCATTCTCTAGAGGAGGGAACAGAGGTCAGGTGCTCTCCGAAGGCCTGCACTCTGACCTGGCGACACTCGCAGCAAGAAGCGTGACTGGAGCCGGAGTTCTCCTCAGACTCTGAATCACAATGCTGCCGAGGAGAATTGGATGAGAGGTGTTGCACTGGTTAATCTGTACAGACAAAACACTGTTACCTGAGGCAATCCTCCACTAAAAGATCCCCAAGGCTCTGCGATAGCGTGGCAGAGGTTTAATCGTGAGAAACACCAGTAGCTACTCTGGTCATGTATTCTGCCCTGAGCGTTTTTTGAGCCCTGCTGGCCCTCCAGAGTCAAACTAAATACGTCCTAACGCTCAGTATGTGGATGGCGGACCGTAGCTTAGCAGAGGATCTATGGACATGTTTTCTTTTTTAAAGGGAATGACTGACTGTTTTCTGTTCTTAAATTGAGAGAGCTGCCTGTTGTGGTTCAGTGCTTCTTTGTTGTGGTTCTGCTTCATGACAGAATTTTATCCCCTCTGAGTGGACTTCAACGTTTCGCTGATCTGAAAAGCTAAAATGCTTTCATCATTTGGATTTTCTTCCGCAATAAAAATTGCACGGTACATATGAATTGTGCAGCTTGTAAGATCACACAGAGCAAAAGCTGTACTGAAATCTTAACAAAAGAGCGCAGTGCATGCACCGACAGCCTTGGCCAGAATTCTCCACACCCCAAGTCCATCACATTTCTGTTCTGATAAGGCACAAGGTTATTTTTGCCATTCTGTCACAGTTTTACTCAGTTTAATGTAGGTTTGATACAGCGACTGGATCAAATGCTCTATGATCTTTCACACTTAAATTATTTAGGGTCTCCAGATTTTTAAATTTAATATTATGCACATCGATATCCAGCAGCCTGTTTTAGGAGAAAGTGTTTGCTGAGTTTTTTTATTTATTTTTATTTTTTTTCAGGGTCTTGTTCTTACATTCTTTCTCATTGCAGTTTTTCTGCTCATTTGGTATGTGACTACTTGTTCTTGTTCCTTTATTTATTAGACCTGATGGCTTACCTTTGAGGCAGATCGATGCTGTCAGTCACTATGAATGAGAATCACCCTACCAATTAAAGATGATTAGGTTAGCCTCAGCCAATCAGCTTGCTCAAATCCCTGGTGTTTGTGTGCAGTTCATCTGGTAGTATGGAGTCGAATTGCTGAGAAGAATGGCAAATTTAGCTTCTTGGGACGTCTGGGCAAGAAAAAAATGTGCGAGTGGCGGGCATTATGGCAAAAATATAACATCACAATACTTGAAGGTGTTTTCTTGACACGTGCAGTTTTTCTGAGGTTTGCAAACAAAATTAGTATGAAAATGTTTTGTTTTATTATTTTTATTATAGTATTATTTTTAACTGGACAGTTATAATAGGCTGACATCCAATTAGCTACTTGTTACAATGCAGTTTATGCATTTACTATACACTAGTTGTTGTTGTTGTTGTTGTTGTTGTTGTTTACTCTCTGTAACTGGTCTTACAAATACTGATGCTACCATCCATTATACTCTGAAAAGTCTACAGTGACATAACTTATTACAGTTAAATCATTAGATTTTATCAGCATGGTGAAACTACAAGTCTTAAAACTACAAGTAATATGCGGAATAAGCACAGAAACTATGTTTCTGACAATAAAATGAACCTGTTTTTTCCTAACAGAGCTTCTTTCCAGTTGGCAGTTAACTCCATTTGTGTGCTTGCATCTTTAATTGGTTGTTTCACGTTAACTTGCAATAATCTCTGTAACCATCTGCCAAATTATTGTTGATCACTGTAGGAATGTCACGTTTCTGCTTCAGCAAAGTGTCTCCAGACTGAGCAAATTACACCATCAATGGGGATTCTTCACAAAGAAATAGCTAGTCTTGGACTAAGCCTAATCTGTGACTGAAAACTAGGCTTTAATGCTCGCTAAACCGTTGAGTGCCCATCAACCTGTTTTTCTGAATAGGCTTTTAAGCCCCCTCTTACAAAGACAGACACAATGGTCTACTTCAAAACGTAATGATATCCCAAGTTTGTTTCTCATCATATGACTGCAGCATGTTTTCATGGACCACAGTGGGGGATGGAGCTGACACTTGTGGCAGCTGAGCGCCTTTTTTTTTCTCTCTCCGTCTTTGTAGCTGGTGTGTGTGTGTGTGTGTGTGTGTGTGTGTGTGTGTGTATGTATGTGTGTCTCATTAAATGTGGATGGTGAACTAGCTGCAGATTGCCTGGAGATTGCTACTCTCTCGGTGTAGCGGTGAAGCCCCTGTCTATAGATGAGGTACGATTGACATTTCTCTCTGGCCCTCCGCAGGGTGTCTGTAAGGATCTTGAACCCATTCAGACTGGCTCCGAAATCAAATCACTGCCACTGCCACTGCCACCACTCACTGGCCCCATCAATTATTTAGCACCAGCTCGAGTGATCCAAAAGGTTGAGAGAATTTGATTTTTGCAGGCACCTCTGGCTGGTCAGACCTTTGACATTAGCTTGTGCAAAGCCACCATAAGCAGTGGTGATGTATCGGTGGGTTTCCTATCGTATCGCATCCTTTGCTGTTCATCAAAATTGCTTTCATGTGTGATCAATACACCATCGATGATTTTCAGTTTGCTCGTTCATCGTGCACACCGTGCTTTAAAGCATGTGAAGTGAACAGAATGCTAGAGCGTTTCTCTGTGCCGGGTGTGCTACGTTTCTTTTAGTGAAAGATGAATTTTCCAGCAGAAAGAATGTCCCCGATTCCTGCGGTTTGCAGTGGTTTGGAAGTAGCTTGGGGTTATCCTCGCTAATTAAAGTTTGATTTGATCAAAGCACACTCTTTTTCAGCTTGAATTTTAATTAGATGACTGGGCCACTGGTCCCCGGTCCATTGCAAGGACATCTACAGAGTTTCTAACACAATCTGAAAGTCTTTTAAATTCAATTTAGGGGATTTATTGGACAACAGCGGCTTTTGGACAGCGCAGGGATAACCATCTCGTCTGCTGGCTTCCCATCTTGCGTTGCCGTTGGGACAAAGGGGCGGCAGCCACACGAGACGAGCTGCTGCGGCGGCCCCGCTCCGGGCAATGTCACCACGGCAACTCCCGCTCCCCTCGGCCCATTACCGCAGACAATTGAACCTGCTATCAGTGCCCCGGCAGAGAGGACGTGTTAAACACCGCCAGCCGCACTCAACAGCTTATTTGTCGCTCAACTATCTATCACCAGCACAGAAGCCCCGACAGCATATGCAGAGCGCCATTTCATAATGATAAAAATCACATCTCTGCGCTGACTCGCAGGAAAGATACAAAAAAAAAAGAAAAAAGAATAATAATAAGCCCTCCTTCCTCCCCCAGTCCTTCTTTCCTTGAGACAGGAGCGAATTCCATGCAGCAGAATCTATTTGCAGCTGGGGGCCCGTTTGTGTGAGTATTGCTTTTGTGTGATATGATCTTTGCCGTACATTTCCGGAGGTCAGAGCAGACACAGAAACAAGGT